AAATCCTTGGGGAACTCCGACAGTTGAATAGTCCAGCTGCCTGCGGCAAACCACGCCACCGTGCCTGTGCAACAGCGCAGCAGGAAGGAGGCCGAGTGAAGGAACAGCGCCATTCCGACGAGTAGTCTGCATTGGAGCGGGTCGTGATCCCGACTTCGTCTTCGTCCGCGCGGTGGGGAGGAGGAGGAGAAGGAGAAGGAGGAGGAGGAGAAGGAGGGAAAACCTGGGGATGAGAAGGGGAAGGCTTCCTGGGGCCTTCTAGGGGCTTCTGGGGGCCTCCTGGATGCTTACTGAAAGCTTTTGGGGACCCTCTTGGGGCCTCTTGGGCAGTCTTAGGGGCTCTTGGTCCGTCTGACGCCCTCTCTGGGCCGCGTTGGTGCCCTCTTGGAGCGGTTCGCGGCCGTCTTAGGGCCTTGGGAGCCCCTTGGGCGATCTTTGGGTCCTCTTGGGCCGACTTCGGGCCCTCTTGAGGGCCCCTTGGGCTGTCTTGGAGCTATCTTTGAGGCCTCTGATAAGCTTCTGAGGTCGTCCTGGGTGGTCGGGCACCCGAACAGGAGAGAACCTCATTCAATTTTCTGATGCTGGGAAGTCAAATGCGGTGGTCTTTCCGAGCTCTCCGGGAGGGCCTCTTGGAGACTTCTTGGGCTGTGTTGAGGGCTTCGTGATCTGTCTTGAGGCCCTCTTGGGAGCCCCTTGTCTTCAGCATCTTGTCTTGGGCCATCTTGGCGTCATCTTGGCTGCCTTGACAGTCGTCCTGGAGACCATGCGACTGCGGCTCCCAAATAGGCCTCAAGACAGATATAGTTGCCTCCACAAGACGGCCCAAGAGGTCTACTAGAGGCCCTCTAGGAGAGCCCGAGGAGGCCGAAATACTTGTTTCTCCTGAGGTGTTGATGGATGTTTGAGGTTCTGGCATGATTGGATTTCCGACCGCCCACTCCGTGCAGGCATTGTGGCGCATGTATATGCTGTTGTTTGGGGGTCCTCTAGACCCCATCCCCGTGACAGGTCTGTCTACCCTTGTTTCGTTCGCGATGCCCTTGGGCCCCATTGCGGTTCCCAGAGGTCGGCACCGAGCAAGATGGCCCGCCGTTGTGCGTTTGTTGCCCGCGACGCTTGTGATTGTATGGTAGGCCGTTGCGTGGCTTCTCTTCAGGCCGTCATTCACCAGCCGCGCTGGGAAACCCTCGAGCTGTTCGACGACCTCGTGTTGTTGGGAGCAGGAGGCTGCTTGGTGTATGCTGGCACCACCCGGGACGTGGTGGAGCACTTCCGATCGCGCCTCCAGGTTGCCTTCCTGAGTGGGAAGTAAGGGGGGAGCACATACATGCATATATTTAGATACACATCTGACGTGCGAGGAGGAGGGGGAGGCAGGGGAGAGGATATCAAGATGAGGACCAGGCGGAAGAGGGTGATCTCGGACTAGGAGGTGGTGGCACGATGAGGAGGAGGAGGAGGACAACAGTAAACCCGCTATGTACAAGTACCCACGATGCTGCAGTACACCATCACGTCCCAAGTCCCTCCCCACTAGTCTCTGCAAGAATTCTGTGTCACTGCGCGAAGTGGCCCCCATTGCAAGCCGACCACGACAGCAATTCAGGTGGGAACTGTCTGGAAAGAACCAACCCTCCATCCTTCTAGCTTCTGGCCAGAAGGAATAAGGGGGTGTCATGAGTTCCAAGGGAGCGCCCAGCAGAAGTCAACTGCCCGTGCCGAATATTCAGGCTCCTCCACAGCTGCGCGCCTGGCGTGGTGGGGTCGGGTGCTCTGTCCTGGAGTCTTCAGCGAGAGCCCCATTTGTGGAAAGGAACCGCCCTTCAACTGTGAAAGTGTTGTTTCTTTTATAGTTGTGGTATTACACTTTTGGCAGTTGCACGCGAGAGTTCACGTTTGAAAACGGGTGGCGCCCCATCCGTGTAAGTTGGCTGTTACGAGCGTGCGCGGAAACAAGGCGAGACTCCCATCTTCAAAACGACGTGCACTTAATCCATGCATTGTGTTCGAAAGACGCGCGGCGCCAAGGCAAGAATCTTTTTGAAAACCATCGGCCCTCAATTGGTGTGATCAGTGAACTGTTTTGAAGATGAGCGCGCGGGCTCAATGACGAGATCCCCATGCTGAAAACGATCACGATTTGCTTTCCACGCGCGCAATGGCTGGAACTTTCAAGCTTCAAGGTCGTAGGTGGCGATGAATTCTCAAGCGAAACTCCCGACCTGCCCTCACGAGACGTCAGCTCGTGCGGCTGCGAGGAGTTATTTGTAAGGAAGTGGATTGGGAATGACGAGCTGGGAGGGTACACGCCGGTCGTTGAAAGTAGATATTTCTGGGATCCCAGCTCCCAATATACTTCTAGCGCCTTCCTACTTCAAGAACCGATATGCTGTTGCTGTGCTTTGTTCCTATCTGGGAGGGCCTAAACCCAATCTACTTCATCCGCCTTCCTACTTCATGTCGTTTCCTACTTCTTCCGACCGACGTGTGAGTATTAGTGGCGCGCACATGGGGATCGGGCTTCGGGCTTCACGTGAAGACGCCGGCACCGTGAAGACAAGAAGCTCGATAAGCCGATCCGGCGATCCCAGCAAGCGGGAAGGGCCAGCCAGCGCGCGCCGAAGGCGCGAGTCCGAGCCAGTCGCTGTCTTCGAAGTCCCGAGGGCGGCCTTCGAAGAAGGTCGGGGTGTTCTTAGAAGGTTTCGGTAGCACATCATGGGAGCATGATATAGCTTCTCAATTCAGTCTTCAGCGTCGACTAGCGTCGATTAGCGTCTGGGAGTCGATGAGATAGCGCGCAAGTTGTTATGATAGCGTCGATGGGCGTCGATTCAGCGTCGATTCGCATTGACAAAAGCGTCGATTCGCAAGAGCCGACGAGATGGTATGGGTGGCTCCCATGGGTTGCCACCGAAGAAGGTGGGGGGCTTTCTTCGAAGGGTCCCGGGACTGTCGAGAAGGCGTCTTCGCGTCCGCCCCCACTGCGCCGCACCCTCGCGCGCGCCGCCGCGCGCGCCGCCAGAAGCATGAGGACGGCCTGGAGATCCGACTTAGGGAGAAACTTACAATACCGCGAAAAATCGCGACCCGAGCCCTGGACCCCGTCTTATGATATTCCTGCGCCACGGTCGAGCCGGAGCCACCTGTGAGGCTCCCGGGGCCCTAAACTGGGCAGGCATGCCCAGCTCCGAAAAGTTGAGACGCCAGGATGTCAGGGGTGAAGGCGTAGTTGGAGCAGGGAGGAGGTGGAGGTGGAGGAGGAGGAGGAGGATGCGGCAGGACGACGGAGAGAGTATTTTTATTCCCGGGCGATAGCGGGCGTTACGGGGTGGGGGGGCCAGGGGGCCGGGGGCCAGTAACGTGACGTTTCGCGCAGGCGCCGTCTGGGATGCTTAAGAATTGCCGAAGACCCCATAGGGTCAGCACTAATCGTGACGTCACTTGGGCCAGGAAGGGCGGCGCGGCCAGGGCCAGTCATGGCCGTTGTCGCGGAACATGCAAAAAGACGTCGTTGAGGATGCAGCATGCCATCCGTCAGAACCCCGAATCATCGGGGCTGGGGGCGGTCAGAGATAACTTCAGATTCCTGCCTCGCGGGCCCAAGCTGGAGTTACCCTAAACCAGAGCTTACCCTGGACAAGTCGGGCGTCCGACTGTTCCCGAATCATCGGGGCTGTGGGGTAGTCAGCGGTAGCTACTGGTTCGTGCGACGGGGCTCAAATCAGAGTTACTCCGGACCACAGTCATCTCGGGGGCGGCCAAGAAGGGGTGATCGGGCGTCCACCTGGAGGAGGGGAGGCAGGAGGGCGCTGGGCGTGGCACGACGCTCCGCGGGCGGCCCCTGCGGAGGTGGAGTTCCCCCCGAACATGAACCCGGCGGACCGGCTGCTCGACTCCATCCAGAGGGACCCGGACGCCTGCGCCGACGTGGCCCTCCTCGGCCCTCCGCTCTTCGTCGTCTGCATCGAAGCAATCGTCGTCCTTGTCGTCGTCGTCGGAATCGCTGTCGTCGACGCGATCGTCGCCGTCGCCGTCGTGGTCGTCGTCGTCGTAATGGTTGTCGTCGTTCTCGTTGCCGTCGTGCTCGTCGGCGACGGCCAGAGGCCGAGGGTGTTTGACACTTTCAGCTCCCTTTGGGGGCTCCGGGCCTTCGGAGACCTTGAGAGGCTTCAGGCGGCCACCGAGGGGCCTTCGGTCGTCAGCTTTGCCCTCCTGATATTCGCGCAGGGGCCCGTCCTGGCTGTGCCTGGCCACGTCCATGCACATAGTGGCACCTCATCGGACCCGACCATCGATCCTCCAACGACCACGACCAGGACGTTGACGACATCTACAGTTACGACGACGACGGCCCCCATGGCCTCCAGGGCTCTCGCGACGTTTCTGGGAGGTCCCTGAGATCCCAAGAACGGTGGCGAACACAGGGGGGAAGTGAGAAGGGGCGGACCTTCTCAGATGGCTCGGAAGTCCCCCCTTCTGATAAGTTTTCTACGCCTGCCCCGAAGACACAGAAAACCTTTCAGAAGGCTGGATGCCTTTTGAGAAGCCCCGCCGCCTTCCGAGAAGGAAATCTCCCCTCACGTCCCCCCCTCGCTCGCCGCCGATAAGAGGCCTCCAGATACAAAAGGCGGGCAACATCGTCCAGCCACCTCGACCCTGAGAGAATGAGGGCGAGGACGATGAGGAGGACGCGGACGACGCGGGCGAGAACGACGACGAGGACGACCACTAGCACGACCACGACTATTACGGCGACGGCCGCTACGACGACTACGACTTCGACGAGGATGAGGACGAGGACAAGGACGGCAACGACTGCGTCGACGATGGCGAGGAGGCGGACGAGGACGCGGACGAGGACGAGGGCGAGGACGAGGGCGACGACGACGACGACGATGACGACGACAACGACGACGATGACGCGCCGAGGTGTGGCGGGACTACTCGCAGACGCTCGAGGCGCCCGAGGAGGAGCCGGCGCCCCCGTCCCTCTTTCACAGGCGCGGCGGCTGGCCGCTCGTCTCCGCGGTATGTCGTTGGTCTTGCTTCAGCTTTTGAGGCTGCAGGCTGCGCGGACGGGTGTGCCTCTGCTATGTTTCCGGTGTGGCGTCGGTGGCTATTAAGTCATAGGTGTATATAGATCAACATATATACATATCTGCATGTATGTAAGTATGCATGTATACATCGGGGCGACCCCCCAAGGGAAAGGACCCACCTTGCAGGGTCAGTTAACAACACATCGTTTAGCAGTGCAGCGGCCTCCCCTGAACACAGGCACACACATAGATGTATATATGTATAAATGTATCTGAATATAGACACATCGAACCGATCGAAGAAACCCTCAGCGAATCACCGCCCCCTGCCTTTTTGGGGAAACGCCTCTGTGGCCATACGTTTGCGAGAGTTTGGCCAAGATATCGGGTTATGCATTCACATCGGATTTGTTGTTTAACATGGTGTTCGAGCAAAGCTTTAAAGGACAGGTAGGGGCGCAGACTCTGCACATTTGAAGACGCATCCAGGATATTTATATAGACAGCAGATCACCTAGGTATCGGATATCATTTGATTGCTTCGGTTCACGCCGCTGGTTTGATTCCCCACCCCTTTCCTTTTTCCTCTCGCTGCCTTGCCACTCCGCTTTCCCATTCGCCCGCCTCTCCCCACGCCCTCTCCTTCTGTCCTCCAGCCCCCTCAACTTCCCCCCCTTTTTCTCTCCCCAATCCCTGTTTTGCTACTACTCTCCCCCATCCCCCTCGCCTCAACCCTTCGTGGTCCGAGCCTAGCTTTCACGGGTCAGGACGACAGTTCGGAGCCAAACCTTCGGTGACAGCAGGTGGACCCCACTCAAACGATCCAGTTTTGGTGAACGCTGTGAAGTCGGTTCAGCAACGGCATTCGGTGCCACCGATTTTGTAGCTAATTGAAGGAAGGCTTCCTGAAGGTAGCCAGCCCCGCCGCATACGGAGCCTGTTCCTAAGTTGGGTGGGCAACTGTTGGAAGTATATTGGCACGCGAGACATGTACGTGACACCTGGCGGACAAACGAGAAGCTCATGGTTCGGATTGAAAGTTATTTGGTATTACACGCCCTGTTGTTTCACAAGTTCCAGCCGCTCATTCGTTCAAGTGGTCAAGGGTAAACAAACGCCACTACACTGTTTGAGGCAGGAGGCTAAGTATATTAATATTCTTTGGCTGTGATGCTGCATGGCAGAAGCCTGGATGCGGCACGCGACGCACGCGCGCGCATGCTGCAGCCATGCCGGGATCTAGCGCGAGGATCGTTCGACATGGAGCCGCGCCAACGACGGCACGTCGGTAGACATCGCCCACGCCGCGCACTTCCGCTTCCACGCGTTTTATGTTTCAGGGGGGTCGGAGGTTGATAGACCTCCCACCCACCCTGACACGTCGATTCGTGAATTGGCCGTTCTAGGTTCGCGATTGGGCGTCGTGGCCGTCACTGTTGCGGGTCCAAGTCCGTCGGTTTCGGTCCTAGGCCGCTTTCACTAAAGGGTCGCTTATTAAAGGAAGGTCTCTCCGCCGCCGAGGGGGCGGGGGAGGTCAGTTTTAGAAAGGCGGCGTGGAGAGCGAGGAGCGTCCTGGGGCCGATAGGGTGAGGCGGAAAACGATATGATGCGGCTCAGTGCCATCTTGGAGGGTTCGGAAGGCAGTGGCGAGGACGGCGACGAGGACGAGGAGGTGACGAGCGATTCGGCATGTAGGTGGGCAAATACTTTATTCGATACGTTCGGCTGGAAGGCGCTCCAGCCCTGCGCGGGTCTTGACGATTCGTTGTTCCCGTTGCATGATTCGGGCGCCGGACGGGCCGCGACTCGCGGGCGCCGTTCCGCCGCCCGAGTCGCCGCCCCGACGTCCGCCCGCAAGGCGCTCCCTTTCCCTCCTCCGACCTCCCTCCTCTCCCTCCCCGTCTTTGTGTCTTTCTGCGTCTCTCACCCCCCGCCGCCCCCCCCCTCCCCCCCCCGTCCGACGCCGCGCGGGCTGGAGAGGTGGCAGCGGGGGCCGCGGGTGGATGCCGTCCGCCAGCTCTACCTCGTCATCGTGATGTGATCGCCCTCCTGTTCCGTCTGCATTTAAAGTTGCTCCACCAGGTTTCCCTGCCCTGTGAGACTCCTCGTTCCGCGTGGTCCTTGCCCCCTGCGCTTGCCCCTCCTTCCCATTCCTATTCCTCGGCAATGTCCGGCGCTTCCCCCACTCATCGACAGTGGTTCTCCGACGCGGCCCGCGGTCGGCCCGCGCGGGGGCGGCCCCCCGCCGCGCCCGCGCCGCGCCGAGGGGGATCGGGATGGTCAAACTGGTGGCGACTGTTGGCGCATCGAGCAGCATTGCGACGGGTGTGTGGTGATGATGATGTTGGCGATGGCGGCTGTGATAGTGGCCCCTGTGCGCCCGTGGGTAGTCGGGGCGTTTCTTGGGCGCGTTGTGGGGCCTATGCGCGCTTGCGCATGCGCGCGCGGGTAGGCGGGCGGGCCCGCGGGGGGGGGGTCGCGGGCGGGGGGGGGGGAGGCGCATTTCCGCAAAGATGTGGCGACCCTGCTGGCAGCGACCCCGCTCGACAATGCCGCGCGGGCGCGGCGGCGCGGAGCGCCGCGCTGCCCTGCGTCTGGCCAGAGCGCCGCGTCGATTGCGGCGGGGACATCCCCCCAGGGAAAACGCCGAGGTGGCAGAAGGCGACGCCCATCTAGGACTCAGGGGCACGGGGGCGTCCAGGGGGGAGGCCACGGGGCGGCTGGGGCACGCGCGGGGGGCGCCCAGGGGCGCGGGGTGGCGCCCGGTTCTTCAGGTGAAAATTACCTCTAATGGTTTGGGCCAGATTCTACGTAGAACAACGTGTCTTCTACGCGCGTTCGGTGCGATTTCTGTGCCCCCCGCGCGGCTCCGAGCGAAGAGCAACGTCAGTTGCGCGGCGCCGAGCGAAGAGCCCAGGGCGCGCGTGAATACCGACCGCGCAGGATTGAGCCGCCGAGCCAGATCTCAGCCCCTTGAACTCTTCCCACTTACTTGGCTTTGGCGACGCAGCGAGCAGTCTCGGCCCCTGCCAGGTTCTAGAATTTCTGACCGGCCGCCCCAAACTGCGCCGATCGGGGGGCGATCGAAGCGGAAATGCCGCTTCGCGCCCGCGCGGCGGTGTCCGAATCTGTCGCCGCGCCTGGGCGAACGCGCAGCCTGCGCCCGCCCCCCCGCCCCCCCAGCGACGCAGGGAAGCGGCGCGACGACGTCGCCGATGGGGCCCGGCCCATTGCCGTAGTTTCTGGTCTCAGCATTGCATTAGAGGGGCTGGGGGCGAGACCACGCGGCGCTGGTCTTTGCGACGTCCAAGGCGCGGCCAATGCTGCGGTATCGCCCGCGCGGGCTTCGCGGGGGAGCATTCGGGCGTCGCGCCCCCGTGCGCGTTCTCAGCGCATCATCGCGCGCGGATGGCCCGCTTTCTCTACGCGCGCACCGGAGTTGGGCAACGCAGTGCATCGGCCAGGTGTACATCTTGGAGGGTGAATGTGGGGGTCGGGCACAGGGCCCTGGCAATGGCGGTTCCATGGGCCACGCGTGGGCGATGCGTCCTCGATTGCCGTGCTCGGCGGGGGGGCCGCTCGAAGCTCCGCGCCTGCGCCCCAGCGCGAGACTTGAGGGTGGACGAGGCGTGGGGCCCGGGGGCGGGCGGCTGGGGAGAGGCGGCGAAGGCGCCGCGCGCTGAGGGCGCATCAAGAAAAGGTTGGAATGCGCGAAGGCGGCGAGGTGCGTGTCAAAATTTGCCGAGCCAATCTGACACGCGGAACGCTACGCCTCAGTTCTGGGGATCTTCAAGGCCAGGGGAAAGTGCGAATTCACATCGCGAGGACATGCGAAATTTGAATCCACATTTTGGGAGGAGGAAAATGTGAATTCACATGTTTGAGACGTCGAAAATGTAAACTCACACGTTGGACTTGATGATATGTGTCGCCAAGAAGGGGCCAGCATGCGAAGTCACACGTTGGGGAAGAGGAGAATGCGAATGCGCAATTTTGGAAAATGGACCACGTGAGTTCACATGTTGGGGGAATCGCGGAACTCGTTCCAAATCTGTGGGTCGGCCAGTCATCGCTCGGGAACGCGCGCGATCATCAATCGCGCAGTCAAGACGCAGTTGCACTCCACTTCGCAGCCTAATGCGCTATCTGCAAGATCGCCTGCGCGCATGAACGATAACGGATGGGCGGCGCGTTTGCCCGCGCGGGCAACGCGCGGGCACGAGCGACTGGCTCTCCATGGCCGCCAACATTGGATGTCAATCGTGCCCGATCAGATACATGGAAGATGTTGATCGCACATGGGCCCTGCAGCCCCCATTGCAGACCCCTTGTTGCAGACCCCTCTTTCGCCCTCCAGACATATGACATTTCACTTTTACGACAATCCGAAATTGTTTCGACGCGACGCGGCGCGGTGACGTCCATTGACGTCGCCGTGTCGCCAGCGTTCTAGGTGGCCTTCGGTCGTCGTCGCCGTCGGACCGCCCTTATCTTTTCATATAATGTTGAATCGGACAACAGTTATACCACTACTACGACGACGACGACGACTACTACTAGTACTTTTACTATTCTACTACTACGATTACGACTACTATTTCTGTTTACGCCGCTATCAAAAGTTGCATTTTTAAATTCGACACCTGGCCTCAGTCTTTATTTTCAGTACTCGTACATAGCTGGCGCATTTTACAATCGCTGCTTGTCCACGACTACCACGACGACGGCGACGAGTGCAAATGCTACTACTAGGGGCACTTTTCTATTTATCACTAGTACGACTGCCTCGACTACAACTACTTCGTCTAATGCGACCACTTTTACTTTACTACTACGAATGCTACAGCTACTATTACTACGACTACGACTAGTACTATTACTAGTATTATCATCACTACTACCTACTATCACTTCTACTACTACTCCTACTACTACTACCTCAACTGCTAGTACTACGACTA